TCTTTTTTTTACAATTTTGAAAGATCAGTGTGTTTGGAGCCACCAAAAATTGTTTCCATGTGATATCAATAGCCAACTAATATAGTAGAGTGTTTTGACTGTTCAGGTACTTCATTTCCAGCATTCCGTGACTTTATGGAAGTTATGTAGTTGCAACAGCAGCAATAGCAGCATTAGAAGGAGAGGTGATTTATCTGTTCTTCTGGTGATGGACATGCTTGACAGGATAGTCTGCGACAGATTTTGACGGAACACCATGATATCAGCATTCACATACTTATTGTGAAGGAGTCAAACAGAGCAAATACGTCCAGATTCGCCTTGTTGCACTTTGTTAAATTTAATTATTATTATTATTATTTATTAGTCTGACTGATCATTTCCAAACATCAGTAACACAGCCTGACAAGCGTTTCACACCACCAACTCAAAAGTAACAGAATGTTACTCGAGATTGCCTAGCCCCATGTGTTCCGTGATGGTCTGATTCGCCATTATTAGCTCGAGTATCGAGCTTGCCATCCAAAACATTTTAGGATCATCGTCGCAAAGAAAACTCGCATCATTTCGTGCTGTTTTAGCAGGTCTAGCGTGACACTCAGGAAACAGCTCTGCCACCCGCGCAAGGGCGGCCAGCGACCTTGCAAGTGGCGTACCCTCAGGAATCTACTTGGTTGTCCTTGCCTGGAGCTGTAGCAGCTATCGCTGAGGCAGACTGTGGTTGGCCTTGATCATACTCATCCAGGCCAAGTCCTCATCATCGTCGCCCCCGACAGGTAAGTACCGCGTGTCACTTGCGATCGATTCGCCTGACATGCGCTCTCAGAAGTAGAAGCGCTGTCGCCGCTTGACAGGGTATCCACAAAGAACGATGTATCACCGTCCATGGGATCGCGGCTGCTGTACTCCGTGAGCCCAATAACCAACTGACACAAGAATCGCCTTCAATTGTCTTCCGCCATTGTCGTCTCTGCACTTTGCTTTGACGGAATCGATTTTTTTGCGAACAAATTTGTTTTTAGTGTTTTCTCAAAAAACCCGCGTAGCCCCGAAGGTCGAAAGTCTCAGATATCGGGCAGTATTACTAATGCCTGTAATGATGACCCTGTACATCATGTACATGTCACAGTCAGTGGTGCACGGTGCACGGCACAATCATAATCATTCGCAATAGTCCATCGGCCAAGTCTCAAAATCGAAAGTGGTGATGCACTGAGCTTCCAACTAAACGCGACCATACCCAGCACGTAGAGAATATATCAGAGAACACTATTCCGTTTGTTGGACGTGCCGAATTCAGTCCAGGGCGTCGATACGAAGCGTTCTTCGTCGCCGAGTTTTTTACTGTGCGCTCCATTTGAGAGTGCGCAGAGTTCTGATCGAGAGTTTTTTGAGCAGATTTTCAAATTTTTGAGGCTGTCAGCTGACAGCTGTCAACCCTAAATGGCACTTAGTATGTGACAGGCAATAGGTTTTGGTGCCTCCGTATGCCTTCTAATAAGTTCTATCTTCCTTCGTTTCACTTCGCTGCTTCGCCCACCACCTCAGGAGATGACAGCGTACCTGCACTAGTCAGCTCTCGCTAACCCTGTCTCTCTTTCTCCGTCTTAGCGCTCGTCATTCGTGTCCTTCTGCTGGGGCGAGCTTGATACTGTTGTGTCGTAGTTTTTAGGCAATAGTGGCTGTTGTTCGCGTGACGATCAGGATTTATGGAGAAAGACGACGACTCGCCAAGTTCCCATGCAGCCACAGACGGCGTAGCAATTCTTACCGCCAACCCTTCGAGCAACGGAACCGGCCTGAGTTGGAAATCGTGTCTGTGTAATTGTGCCACGATACGGATGAAACACACAGGCTCACATGTGACGAGATGAAGATAATCTCAACAGGCTGACGGAAATCCAACAGGCTCACGGGAACGCTGCAGTTATGGTCGGAGACGCGGAGTTATTTAGTCACTGGTAAATGTTGCATCGAGTGCTGTGGGCTCTAACACAATTGTAAAAATCATGAAAAAGCGAAAATAATGCAATGGTGGGGCTGAGTGGTGTTCTGTGGAGGAGACGTCGCTGTCTGAGTATTCAACGCCGGACCCTGTATTTCAAGTCTGTGATCATGCTCGATCATAAATTCCTGTATGGCTCCAGTGCCTTCTCAGCATTGTTGGCGGGTAAGCACCTGGATCGTGTCCAAGTACTGCGGCTCTGGTGGCTTGAGGGATGTACGGGTGCTCGCCGTGCACCCCTGCCGGCAATCTGCTAGTGAAGCTTGGTACCTACTGTGTCCGGGAGATTTTCATCCAGAAGCTGATCTTCCTAGGCTGGAGCTGCTGCTACTCCTGTGCTAGCCCTCAACCACTGGTGCTCCTACTCGGCTCCAGTGTGGGCCATTAACCACCCTGCCCGATTTCGCACTGTTGCTATTCCACACCGTCAGCATTTAACTCTGAGGTCAGACCTTGATCCCTCGCACCATATGCTATCTGTCTGTCTGCCTCTCTCTCACACACAGATGTGCACGCATAATCACAAACACGCATGCACACACACACGCATGCACACACAGTGACACAAACATACACATAGCCAACTTCTCTGTGTTTGGTGATCATATCTGTTTTCTGATGTGCAAGCTCACCTCTGATGCCGACTACTTCCTTACTTAGACCCGGTCTGCTATTAGACCAGTCTGCTCTCCCTTCACTCGCTTGTAAATCCTACTTGGAGCAGTAAGGTTGTGTCACTGCTCCTACTGATGTCATTGTTGTGAAAGCAATATCATCGCCATTGGTGGTAATTTTCCACTGTGCATGAATCATTAACAATCATCATCTATGTGTCACGGCCTAACCATCCTCGTAACTCCCCTCATCGTGACTAGTGCTGTACCGTTGAAACCTACTTTGCTTCAGTGTATATTCGCTCCAAAGCTCTTGTTTTGTTGCATAGTGATCTGACGCAGTGTGCTACAGCCTATCGGGTAATATGGATAAGATTAGTACAGGCGGCATCGCCTATCGAGTAACCAGGTACATGTATAAGGATACTAGTACATGTATACCGGCTTAACGATATCGGAACACAAATAGCACTGTGTGTGCAATATTCCTTTCTAAGCTCACGCTGTGCGGTGCAGATAGGTCATGTGTCGTTGCCAACTTGCCGCATGTGCATGTGCAGCAGGAAGGCACCACATGTCGACTACTACTTATACTGTACAGCATTGTGTGCTTACATGCATCTACGGCCTTGTGGATGCAATTGAGTCTCACATACATGTGCATGAAATATTGCGTGTAGTGCGGCATCAGTTAACATACAGTGGCTAAATATTTTTCTCGCAATAATGACCGTATTCACCACAAGTGTGTTTATGTCCAGAGCCAACTCAAGTCCTGTATTATTTATGACCATGACAACAAGACTTCCGGGCTGAAATTCTTCTATGACAGGCATGAACACTTGCCTTACAATTGTTCGTGATTGTACGAAGTACATATTCGCTGTTGCATCAATTTTGCACCATTTACATTGTAGTGCCACTAGTGGTATCACCTGCATGCGTATTGAGTCAAACAAGGTTACCTCTGTATAATTATGCTTATCGTGGCTATCAAGAGCTTCGATGCAATTCCCAGCTGACGAATGGTGTCCAGCTTGTGTTCAGCTCAGCTGGCACTCACAACTCATAATAATTGCGTTCTAGACGCCAGATGAGATGTTTTAGCTACAATGTAGACACAACGTCCGTGTTCAAGAAAGCCGTCACTTCATCTTCTGTCCATCCTCAATAGCACGCTCAAGCAAATACGTCTGAAACACAGTAGCGACAATCCGACAGCGGCGACACGCCGTCTTCTCCGAATGAGATTCTACCGTTCTAATTCAGATTCCCCAAAAATGTCGAAATAAATAATAGATTTCCACCAAGCTCGCTAGAATCTTGCGAACCGTGAACATGCAGGCATTTCAAGTGTTCGAGCGTGCGTAGATTCTGCTCAGCGGCTCAAGAACATTCGCCAAGCGAAAAAAAGTCGATGAGAAAGACGTAATGGTGGACGAAATTACGAAAATCGGAAGAAGGTATTCGACCCAGTTCGACTATCCTGGACTGGATTGGCAACGTCCAACAATCGGATTCGTATTCTATGGGGTCTCATGAGCTCGTGTGCCAAAGGGCGTTTAGTTGGAGCTTCAGTGCATCACCTTCGCCGAAAGAGGCCCTTTCTGAGATTTGGCCGATGGACTACAAGCCACCAGCCTGACCATGCCATGCGCCAGGTCTGGGGGCTGTACATAATCATTAGCCTGTACTGACTGTAGCCTAGGACTAAAGAGTCGTCGCCTTTTACCATGTTTACGAATACGACTCCTTGGCCTGACCTGTGACCACTGCTACTACTAGTGCTAGCTGAGTGCTAATCATTATTATGTTCATGTACATGACTGTACAGTCAGTCATACCGTGATACAGTATGAAAACCACAAAATCTGAGCTGCAAAACAAAAAGAGCAGAACGCTAGTCCGGGCGGTAAAAAAAGGCTAGAAAACAGTCGTTACCTTTCCCTTTTGAATCCTCACTACTGACACTACAGTCCATTCATAAAAAAATGGGTCCTGGCTCTGGCGAGCTCCCGTATTTGGCGATTTTTCGTGATTTCATCGTACACAGTGCAGTGCTGCGAACTTTGAAATTTGAAAAAGGGTCCAAAAAGGGTGCCTGAACTGGGGTTCGAACCGCAGAATGCACTGTTGCAGGCGGGGTCAAACGGCCTGGATTTTGATGGTTTTTCCCAATTCAGTGCTTTTGGGGCAAAACCTGGCCGAAATCCTATTCTTGCTATGGCTTGCTTTTTGGACAAAAAAACTTCAGAAACATAATTGGAAGAGGATTCCATATGGGATTGCAGAAAAAAATTCTAAAAAAACTCAACGTTTGACCCATTTATGGCCAAAAGCTAGAAGTTCATTTTTTTCTGAATGGACTGTAGTGAACGATCTTCGAGCGAGATAGACGTAGTCTATTGATAGAATCGGTGTAGGTCTGAGTTTTTGTGGCAACCAGAAACATTAATTTTATCCAACCCTAGCCCACAAACTGTGTTGGTTTGTCGGGCTAGGGGTCGTGTCGTGTAAACTAGATAAGTGGACGGTAGAGTCTACTGCTCGGTGAGAGAGAACGGCTGCGTATTCCTAATCTGCTGACACACACGATTGAGAGTATCATGTACCCGATTAGCAGTTCCAAAAATCTGGCACAGGCCAGACTTCGCAATATGAGTAGTCGTTCTCCGACGTCTACCAGTGATCATGTCCCTGTTCATCATGCTGCGTCGGCTAGTGTCGACTACCCTGTCGCAGGTCCGCTCATGGCCACATCATCACCAACACAATCAAGTCTAAGGAGGTCGTCGCTACCCGATGCAGTTGTCAGGTTTGCAGAGATGCTGAAGAAACGCTACGTTGGTGCTAAGGTACTGTTGGGCAAGGGTATGTGCGCTAAACCGAACAGACGAGCGCTAGATAAGATGTTTGTGAATGACCTGGCATCACTGAATGAACAAACATTCTTCGGTTCGCAAAGCGATGTGCAGAAGTTGAGCCATGTCTTCTCGCGGGTTGCGGACAAAGTGCAGCACGTGCAACTGGCCAATATGTTTGACTTTGACGGGGAAGACATTGATGAAGACGAATCAGTTCGTGTATTGGCTGTTGCATGTGCTGGCGCTGGCAAAACGACCATCTTCGTGTTGAAAGGTCCGCTGGACTGGGCAAGAGGTTTAATGTGGCACGAGTTTGACATTGTGAGTGCGTTAGCATTGCGTGATGCAGGTGTTCGACATGCCAGAAATGTTGTTGATCTGTTACAGCTAGAGCGCTATGGAATTGTAGATGTGGAGGAGCAAAAAGAAATTGCTTCCTTTGTTCATGCCAATCTGAAACATGTGTGTGCGATTCTGGATGGGTTGGATGAAACTGTGCTTGGTGACTGCAGTGATTTTGTGCGTGGCATTATTCGTGGTGAGGAGTTGAAAGGCATTCGACTGCTTCTCACGTCACGCCATTCTGCAGAAGTGATGAAACTGTCTGTTTCATGTCCATTTGATAGGCGGGTTGAAGTACTGGGTTTCACCAAAGGCAATGTTCGCGAGTATGTGAACAATGCTCTCCCATGCACAGAGGCTAGCAGGCTACTAGAGAAGGTGGATGCTGATCCCAGACTCTCAGCTATTATGCAAACACCTTACTTCACACAGTCGACGTGTGATGTGTTTCGTAGTTGTGGCTCTGTACCTTCATCACTGTTTGGTATCTTCATGTCGTTGATACTGAGTATGATTCGACAGAACACTGAGAGTGCGTATCCAGACTGGGTGTCTGTGCCACGCTTGCTGCAGGAGCAAATTCTTGAGTTGGGTCATTTTGCTTTTGTATCGTTAATGAAAAAGAAAGTAGTGTTCAGTGATTCTGATCTAGATGCAGAGCAGGTTTCTAGAGAAAGTCGATCACTTGGTGTTCTTGTGGCTTGTGAGTCACTGTCATACCCGTCCATCACTCAATGGCAATTCAGCCATCTTTCAGTGCAAGAATGTCTTGCTTCTCTTTACATGGCATCCACTAATCCTGATGCCAGTGATGTAGAATATTTAGTGAGGCAAGTAGGAGCTCTGACGGGTCACTTGAGTACATTTTGGTGTCTTCTTGCTTCACAACTGACAGCGGTCAGCAGAGAGTCGTTGATTGCATCCATTCTCACACAGCGTATCCCTGATAAAGAGGATGTGAACAAGCTGACATCATGTTGCGATGTGACAAAGTTTCTTCGCTGCTCCGAAGATGATCTTCTTGAGGTGGTAGAGTTGCTATGTGGGCATCTTGATGAAGCAGCAGTGCAGAGTTTAGCAAGGTGTCTTCTTAAAGATCTACTGCCAGACAATGTGAGTGTGGCACAGGCCATTGAAGAAGTTCTTCCTCACTCTTTCTCGTCGTCTTTGTACGACGTAGTTCATGCTCTTTTGCAGCTGTGGCGTCGCAAAGTCCCCCGTGCCAGTATGAGAATACTGTGCACTGCCTTGAAGTCTATCAACCCGCATGCATCCAACTGTCTCCACCAGTATCTTGTATCGAAACGCACAGAAGACTCACAGGCTGCAGAACGTCTTTCTTCAGCTGCGACAGACAGCTCTGTGCATTCTGTCATGACTGTTCCACCAACGAAGTCGGCATCGTCAGCTGACCGGATACGTGAAAATTTAACTCCAGTTCGCCGACAATTGTTGTTACTGGCTTGCCGTGTGTATGCACAGCCCAGTGCAGACACAGACAACATGACTAGCTGTAGTCAGTCACCTTCACCTAGTCTAGAACTAGCCTTCGAACATTATGGCTTTGATTTTCGGAAAGTGGCTGTCTCGCCTGCTGACTGTCATCTTCTTTCGTCTGTACTGAGGAATCACAGTAGGTCTGTTAGTCTTGTGGATCTGCACAACTGTCAGATTACTGATGATGGTTTTGAGCAACTCACTACTGGTCTAACTCATTGTCATGGGCTGGCTCAGTTCTCTCTCCAAGATAATACACTGACTGACCGTTCTGTGGCATGTATCCATAGTGTTATCTGTGAAAACCACACAGCTCTTCTTCGACTTTCCTTAGAGGATTTGCAGCTGACATCATCTGGCTATGCTCAGCTGGTACCCGCAGTGATCACATGTCATGACCTGGAGTACCTGACCATAGGTAGTATGTCCTGTCAGGATATCAAAACTAATGTTCTCATAGCTATCACCGTGCTGGCTTACTGGAAGTCTCTTACAGGTCCCCAGTTTTACTTCCCGATCGGTGATGATGCTCTTGTTCTGCTTTCTGGACTGCTGACAGGACGGCCATTTCGTTACATGGCCTTCATGCATGCGATGCTCACGCCACACAGCACTTGGGTTGTCAAACACGTTCTTCGTGTGCACTCTCAGTACCTTGTACAGCTTAACTTGAGCGACAATGATCTTTCTGACATGTTTCTGTGCAGCATTGCACCATGTCTGAAGCGGTGTAAATCACTGGTGACACTGGTGCTCTCAGGAACAGGCCTTACATCACAGTCACTTCCGGTACTCGCTGGAATTGTGTCTTCTTGTCCTGATCTCCAAGTTGTTGGTCTGAAAAGGAATGACTTTCAAGCGGAGAATGACGAGGGCAGCTTGCAGTTTGCATCAGCTGTACATGAATGTCAAAACCTCGTGTACCTTTCAGTACCAAAGCGAGAGTTAGTGAATGATCAGCTATGGAGATTACTTGACTATGTTCATCGCGAGAGAGCAGGTCAACTATGGATTCATTGCGTATGACATTATTCGGCATAACCAACAGTGAAGATAACGTGTATATGCGCAGTGGAAGGAATGCTATGGCTTGTCAGACATGTAAACACTAGACACAGAGATGAACATTATTTCTATAATACACTGGTCATGTGATGTCATGTTGAACCACTGCTGGTGGTCATGTGATGTCATGTTGAACCACTGCTGGTGGTCATGTGATGTCATGTTGAACCACTGCTGGAATGGTTACTACTGTACATGGTACTGATCAGGGAAGTTGAGGAAGAGAGGGAGAGTGGGACAGGACGATATATAACACTGCAGTTGTGTCTGTTGGTGAAAACACTTGCCGCACACACATGCTGTGCGGAAGCCTGCTCGTTCAGTAGAGGTTGGTGGCTTGTCTGTCCGGGAGCCCCGATGGTGGTTCAGCACGTTCTATTCATAAGGTGAACATGTGATCATGTGATGAAATACTTTATTTTTATGAACACGGTCTCACCATTTCACATTTTTGTGGCAGTTGTCACATTTCTATTCCATCACTTGACTATGGTATTTTATGCCTGTGACATCACATGCCTATGATGTCATAATAACTATGTTGTCGCTTCATCATCCTCGGCGATTCCTCGCACTCAGGCCACGGCTATGTGGTAGCCTGACTATGACATCACCAGACGTCATTGTGACATGACTATGACATCATGTGTCAGAATTATTTTTAGTTTGAGTACCGTATATAATGAGATAATTATGTTCTGAGTTCAGTGAGTATCTTGGACATTGGAGCAGAAACTGGTGGTACGGATGTTACGCACTGACGTTGATCGGGCTCAGCATGCAGTCACCTAACTGGAGAGTGAAAAGAGGTTAGTTTGTTGTGTGTTGCATTACAGTTGCAGAGTTGTATATTTATGACTGGTTCACACTAGGCCGAATTTTTGGTCCGTGCTCCAACACCAGACACCCTTAGCAAACAACGGTAACGCTATTATTTACGGTACTCGTACCCTTATCACCCAAATAGCGTTTGAGCTGCAGCGTAAAAACGTTATGGGGTGTGATTTATCGTTGTGACCAACGGTACGTTTTGTGGCCAAATATTGCATAGTCCGTACGCATTTCACCTTGTATCGCGTATATGGTGACATAAATGGTTGTACCGCACGAAATAATAGCATTCTCGTGGCAACAACGTTCTAAAAATAGCGTGCATCTTGCTAAAGGTCGAACCCCAATCACGGTATTTTCCCCCTTACGGTAATACCGTTACAACATAACGTGTTTTGCTAAGGGTGTCTAATGACTCCGACATGAAACGGTCGACTGCGTCGGATGAGTCAGACTAGCTGTTCACACGCAACGGTGAGCAATTTTGCTTGTACTATAGTTGAAGGCCTGTCAGCTCACACACGTACACGTACACGTGATACACAGCCGAGCTAGACCCTTGCCTTGTAGACACCAGGCAGTGAAAAAAAATACACGTTTTGACACAAGCTACATGCAGTACATGAAGTACATGAAGTACATACAGTACATGGTCAGAGTTGTGAAAAAGCTGACACATCTACATCTGCATGTAGTAGAGATCCAGTGCAGCTAGTTCATCGTCTGTAACCAGGCTCTCTGTTGTCATGGTGAAAAGCCGTCAGTGATTGGTTGGAGGCCCGTTCGATCCACTACATGCAAGCACTATTGGCCAACTTTTGTTATCAGCCTAGCCGAAAGCGCACACAACAAGAAACTCGTCCCAGATATGTCGGAAACTTGTACGACAACATCGTCAGCACTAGAGTTTTTTTTCGCACCGATCTTTACAGATTTCTGTACAAGTCCATGGCAGCGGAAAATCGGGCTAGTGTGGACTAGGCATAAGTAATGATTTGCTGCACTGTGTTGGTCTTTGTATTGTGTATGGTGTTGCAGCTTGCACTGTGCTGCATTGTGCTGTGCTGCATTGTGCTGTCCCCGGGGGAAATTGCGATTCCGCAGCCGCGTTTTTTTCCGCGTTTTTTGCGATTTTTTTAAAGACCTCGTTTTCCGCGATTTTTCCGCGATTTTTGAACTTTTTGTTGCACAACACGTGCACATAGTGCACTGTTCGGTCACCAACGACGTCTCATCGTGGCGGCTTTTTACTCAAATATGACGAGTGCTTACACCAGAGACCTGTAACTTATTGGTTTCACTACATACTCACTGAAAATTGCCGCACATCAATATTATTCACCGCATATTTACCGCAAATTCACCGCAAATTATGCCATATAATGCCGCGTTTTTCCCCGCGTTTTTTTGCGATTTTTTCCCGCAATTTTCCCCGGGGACAGATTGTGCTGTACTGCACTGTGCTGCACTGTGCTGCATTGTGCTGTACTGCACTGTACTGCACTGTACTGCACTGTGCTGTACTGCACTGTGCTGTGCTGCGCTGTGCTGCACTGTACTGCATTGTGCTGTACTGCACTGTACTGCACTGTGCTGTACTGCACTGTGCTGTGCTGCGCTGTGCTGTGCTGCGCTGTGCTGTACTGCACTGTACTGCACTGTGCTGTACTGCACTGTGCTGTACTGCACTGTGCTGTGCTGCGCTGTGCTGTACTGCGCTGTTTCATGTTTCCTGGTATCATGTGTGTGCTGATTAGCACACCAAGACTCCGTTACTTGTTTCTCCTTGAATTAAGTCTGTGCGGTGTTTTCTGGTTTGTGTGTTGCAATACAGTTATTGTGATTTCATATGAATGGCTCTTGCAAGATATAATTTATTAAATTTTATTTTGTGTTTCTGTTACTCATTACCTGGTGTGTTCTCTTCTCTGTTTCTCTGTGTTTTATTTCAGTGAAAGATTTTCAGAGATCTCAGCGTACTGGCTGTTCTCTGTTATTCCTCCGCGGTCATGAAGCAAAGCTGAGTGGCATTCAGTAGCATTCGTCTGCCGGGGGAAATCACAGGATTGGAGGGCAAAGATGGTGGTAGTTGTGTGCCGAACGCTCTAATGCAAGTATATCTGCCAGAAGACTGGAGTGAAGTGAGTAAGTAGACTTTCTATTGTTAATAATCTGCTATTTGTTACTACTGATAACTGTACAATATTCACCACACATTATTGTTTGCCTTTTTTCACGACAAGACAGTAAGGGCCAGGTTCCACTGCGGCTCCGCTGCTCTGCTGCTCATCACCCGCGGCTTGATACGTCAACATTACCACAGTGACGGCGGCGCGAGCTGGCGCAACGATGCCGCGGCTCACCGCGACCTTTCGCTTTGATTCTTGATGAAAAACTGCGAAGTTCGGTCGCGGCTCGACCTGCTTCCCGTACTTTGCCTCGTTTTATACGCGAGGATTTTAAAAATCAAATTATATTTCGTTACGCAGGCCAGAACACGAGGTTTTTTGGATTTCACGCGCGCTGGCGCGCGCAGGCAGGTAAAACATCATTAAAAACCATGGATCACGACCGCGGTACCGCGAATGGCGAGTGTCAGTGGAACCGCGCTGCTCCGCTGCATGCAGCTAAGTCCCGCGGAGCAGCCAAGCCGCGGAGCCGCAGTGGAACCCGGCCCTAATGTGGATATTGATTAACCAGAGAGAAGTCAAATTTGAACAGTGAGTTTATGAAAAGTGGCCACAGTCCTTTGCGAACATTTTCCATTGTAAACTCTCTGGTTCTAAGAAATGTCGAAAATTTAGTGACGCGAATATCGGTGTGTTTGCAGAATTCTAATTTTACCATACTAACAAGTCAGAAATGTATTATGTGATTATAGCACTGTAGGGTGATACAATTTGTACCGGCTAGGATTTCACAACACACACCATACCGGTATATACCGTAGAATCCCACCAGAGCGCACCGTCTCTTCCATGCGCCCCTCCCTGTCTTTTTGTCAGGGAAGTGATTCATTGTGTCCTCGTATGACTCCATGATGCCGTACTGTACTGCAGACGAGTGCTCGACCCGGTCATTTTTCCTAGTAGTGATGGTGCTGTTGCTGGTGATGGCGATGGTCCCGCAACTGTTGCTACTGCTGCTGGTATTGCTGCTACTGTTGCTGCTGGTGATGGTGCTGCTATTTATGCAACTGCATGTTGCTGCTTTTTGTTTGTGTTTTTCTTGCTGAATTTTCCCGTTGCACTGCTACAGATATGTTTGTGTTATCGTATCAACAGCAGAGCGGTCGTCCTGTTATTTCTGTAGCTGTGTAGCAGATGGATGTGACTACTACAAGGTATGTCAAAGAGTATCATCAACTGTACTTATACATCTTCTTATAAAATGTATACGAGTGGGCAATCGCTGAAGTATTATTAAACCGTTGATATTGCTACAGGTGGTGCTATTTCTCTTCACTCCATTCTCTTTCTGTGCTGTGCTTTCTGTGCTACTGTTGCTGCTCCTCTGTGTGTGTGTGTGTGTGTGTGTGTGTGTGTGTGTGTGTGTGTGTGTGTGTGTGTGTGTGTGTGTGTGTGTGTGTTGGCCCTGCCAGTCACAAGTGTGTGGCTCCGTCCCCAGCCGCAGTGGAGTCGTGTTGTGGCGCGCACTGTGCGTCCCGCGGCTGCTGATTCCGTTCGGTCCAGGGCAGGAATATACACCGCTGCTCAGGTTATCCCCAGGCCATACGTCAGTCTCGGGGCAGCAGTCGTAGGTGACCTGTATCCTGACAACCTCTCGTTGGGTCCCGGACGCCGTGGGACGGCGTTCTCCTTTTCTCTCTCCGTTGCCACTCCGGGCCCACGTGACCCTTGTGGCAGTGGCTCGCTAGGACAGGACAGGACAGGTATGTGTGTTTTGTGTGTAAGTGCTGCTGCTGTTGCTGCTGCTGTTGCTGTTGTTGCTGCTATTTCTGCCTCCTACCTCTACTGCTGCTGCAGCTGCTGCTGTTTCCGTGGCTGCTGTTGATGTTGCTTCAGGCAGTCACTTCTTTTTCTGTATGTGTGTGTGTGTGTGTGTGTGTTTTTGTGTGTGTATTAATGTGCTGTCATAGTGTCTATTGCGGATAGCGTTGCCAGTGTCTATACTGTTACTGCTGCTTCCTCCATGGTCAGCTGTGCTGAACAGTGATCCGTTACGTGTGAGCGAGTACTCAGATGATGGGCAGAAATCTGGATGGCAGAGCTGCATCTTAGTAAGGTACATGTTGTGTCTAAGGATTTCTTTTTGTCAGTTACTTTCCCTTGCCCGTCTCCTGTTTCCATATATGGGTGGGTTTAAACTAGTATAGCACGGATCTGGTTTGAAAATAATCCCCAGTCACATGACCACACTGTGGTAGTTTTGGTGAGAACTTGAAGACGACTGGCCATGTATTGTCATTTCTGAATGTGACGTTTACTGCTGGTGATACTGCAACTGCAAGTGTGTCTATACTGGTGATAGTGGTACTGCAGCTATTGATGTGCTGGAAACTAATGTAGCTGCTATGCTGGCAAGACCTGTACTGTTGCTGTGCTGGCAGGACCTATACTGTAGCTGTCCTGGCAAGACCTGTACTGTTGCTGTACTGTGTCTGTTCTGTTGCTTTCGCTAATGTTTTGTTTGCTGCTGCTGTTACTGTTTCAGGGGTATTTTCCGCAGTGGCGGCGTGGTTGCTTTTATTGCAGCGAGTTTTTCTTCTAAGGTCTCCATATGCAAAGTAATCTGTTGGCTGATGGACGGATGCCGGGATGGTTCAGAAATGAAAGGTACATTTTTTTATTAACTAGTACCCCTGAACTGTTATCACCCCCAACCCCTGCCCCGCTCCCTCCCCCCCCCCCCCCCATCACACGGCACCCATATTCACATGGAATAGAATTGTATAATGGGAGAATTGTGCATGGAATAATAGTTTGACTTCAACTTCTCCTCGTTACAAACAACTCTCATACTCCTACCTGTTTTGTCTATACATTAGAAAGTGAGTTATCTAAGTTTTAACCACTGCATATCTAGATCACCACTCTTGTCTACAGTGTACGTAAGCCTCTATGGGTATATTTGCATGTCCAGCTATACACAGGGTTGAAAGAGACATTTTGTTTGCACTTTAGGTACGCCTTCATTCCTTCTCTTTCCTGTCATTCTCTCCAAACTCTACTTCTCGTGACAGCAAGGAATGGTGGCTCTGCTTGTTCAAACTGTTGTGTCTGTCTCTCTGCTGCTGCTGCTGCTGCTGCTGCTGCTGCTGCTGATCTTGACACTGTTATTGCTGCTATTGCTGGTGATGGCTGTGCTGGTCATGCTGCTTCTGCTGCGGATGCTATTGCTGCTGCTGCTGCGGATGCTATTGCTGCTGCTGCTGTTGCTGTTGTTGTTTCTGCTGCTTGCCTGTTTATCCCTCTGTTGCAGTTGCAGTTGCTGGTAGAGTTGCTGCGAGTGTGATGCTGCTGTGATAGAGATCATGACTCATGGTGTTGTCAGTAGCTGTACTATTCCTCTGCTTCATCTCTGGTCCTGGGTAACAGGAATCAGATGTATGCTGATCAGTGAGGTTTCTGATGACGTACACATACCTGGATGATATTGCTGCAATGCAGAAAGGTACAGATTGTAGAAAATGTCATCTTATTGTTAACTACATTATCTTGCCCCTCCCTTCTTCCCCTATTTGGATGTGTTCAAACAAATAATCAAAACCGGTAGAATTGGATAATTGTCCTGGGGAAATGACTGCACATTGTTTTTATCTGCAACTATTGCTACTGTTGCTCCTGTTGCTGTTGCTGTTAATATTGCTGCTGTTTCTGGTCCTGCTGCTGCTGCTGTTTCTGGTCCTGCTGCTGCTGCTGCTGTTGCTGCTGCTGTTGCTGTTAATATTGCTGCTGTTTCTGGTGCTGCTGCTGCAGCTGCTGCTGTTGCTGCTGTTATTGTTGTTGCTGTTGCTGCTGTTGCTGCTGTTGCTGCTGCTGTTGCTGCTGCTGTTGTTGCTGCTGTTGCTGCTACTGCTGCTGTTGTTGCTGGTGCTGCTGCTACTGCTACTGCTGCTGTTGTTGCTGCTGTTGCTGCTATTGCTGTTGCTACCGTTACTGTTGTTTTTGCTGTTGTTGCTGCTGTTGCTGCTATTGCTGCTGTTGGTATTGCTGCTATGTCTGCTATTGCTGTTGCTACCGTTGCTGCTGTGGTCGCTGTGTCTGCTGTTGCTACCACTGCTGTTGCTGCTTCTTCTGTTTCTACCAATGCTGTTGTTTCTGCTGCTGCTGCTGTCGCTGTTGTTGCTATTGCTGCTGTTTCTGCTGTTTACATTGCTGCTGTTGGTGCTTCTTCTGTTGCTACCACTGCTGTTGTTTCTGCTGCTACTGCTGCTGCCGCTGTTGTTGTTATTGTTCTGCTGTTTCTGCTGTTTGCATTGCTGCTGTTGGTGCTGCTGTTGTTGCTGCTTTTGCTGCTGCTGCTACTTTTGGGGCTGCTGTTGCTGGTGCTTGATCTGTTGTTGTTGCTGTTGTTGCTGCTGTTATTTTCGCTCCTCCTGTTTCTACTGTTGGTGCTGTTAGTCTTGCTGTTGTTGCAGCTATTTGAGTTCTTTATTCTCACGATGGTACCATCGTCAAAATGCAATTGTTGCTGATGTGGTTGCTGCTATTACTCTCGTTGCAGCTGTTGTTGCTGTTGTTGGTGATTCAGAGGAGGTGATTTCTCGGTGGCATTCAGTAGCATTCGTCTGCCGGGGAAAATCACAGGATTGGAGGGCAAAGATGGTGGTAGTTGTGTGCCGAACGCTCTAATGCAAGTATATCTGCCAGAAGACTGTAGTGAAGTGAGTAAGTAGACTTTCTATTGTTAATAATCTGCTATTTGTTACTACTGGTAACTGTACAATATTCACCACACATTATTGTTTGCTATTTTCACGACAAGAGCGTAAGGGCCAGGTTCCACTGCCGCTCTGCTGCTCCGCTGCTCATCATCCGCGTCTTGAAACGTCATCATTACCATAGTGACCGCGGCTCGAGCTGGAGCAGCGAGGCCACGGCTCACAGCGACCTTTTGCTACGATTTTTGATCAAAAACTAAGAGCCGCAGTCGCGGCTCGACCTGTTGCCCGTTACTTTGCACTGTTTTGTACGCAAGAATTTTAAAATTCTAATTTTATTTCATTGCTGGCCAGAACACGAGGTTTTTTTGATTTCGCGGTACCGCAAATGACGAGTGTGAGTGGAACCGCGCTGCTCCGCTGCATGCAGCCAAGTGCCGCGGAGCAGCCGAGCCGCAGTGGAACCCGGCCCTAATGTGAATATTGATTAACCAGAGCGAAGTCAAATTTGAACAGTGAGTTTATGAAAGTGGCCACAGTCCTTTGCGAACATTATCCACTGTAAACTCCCTGGTTCTAAGAAATGGCGAAAATTAGTGATGCGAATATCGGTGTGTTTGCAGAATTCTAATTTTACCATATTAACAAGTCAGAAATGTATTATGTGATTATAGTACTGTAGGGTCATGAAATTTGTACCGGCTAGGATTTCACAACACACACCATACCGGTATATACCGTAAAATCCCACCAGAGCGCCCCCTCTCTTCCATGCGCACCTTCCGGACTTTTTGTCAGGGATGTGATTGATTGTATCCTCGTATGACTTCATGATGCCGTACTGTCCTGCAGACGAGTGCTCGACCCGGTCATTTTTCCTACTAGAGATGGTGCTGTTGCTGGTGATGGTGATGGTCCCGCAACTGTTGCTACTGCTGTGTGGTATTGCTGCTACTGTTACTGCTGGTGGTGCTGCTTGTGCTGTTGTTACTGCTGCTGGTGATGCTATTTATGCAACTGAATGTTGCTGCTTTTTGTTTTTTGTTTTTTTCTTGCTGAATTTTCCCGTTGCACTGCTACAGATATGTTTGTGTTATCGTATCAACAGCAGAGCGGTCGTCCTGTTATTTCTGTAGCTGTGTAGCAGATGGATGTGACTACTACAAGGTATGTCAAATAGTATCATCAACTGTACTTATACATCTTCTTATAAAATGTATACGAGTGGGCAATCTCTGAAGTATTATTAAACCGTTGATATTGCTACTGGTGGTGCTATTTCTTCTGACTCCATTGTCTTTCTGTGCTGTGCTTTCTGTGCTACTGTTGCTGCTCCTGTGTGTGTGTGTGTGTGTGTGTGTGTGTGTGTGTGTGTGTGTGTGTGTGCGTGTGCGTGTGCGTGTGCGTGTGCGTGTGCGTGTGTGTGTGTGCATGTGTGTGTTGGCCTTGCCCATCACAAGTGTGTGGCTCAGTCCCCAACCGCAGTGGAGGCGTGTTGTGGCGCGCACTGTGCATCCTGCGGCCGCTGCTTCCGTTCGGTCCAGGGCAGGAATAGACACCGCTGCTCAGGTTCTCCCCCGGCCATACGTCAGTCTCTTGGTAACAGTCCTAGGTGACCTGAATCCTGGCGACCTCTCGTTGTGTCCTGGACGCCGTGTGACAGCGTTCTCCTCTTCTCTCTCCGTTGCTACTCCAGGCCCACGAGACCCTTGTGGCAGTGGCTCGATAGAACAAGACAGGACAGGTGTGTATGTGTTTGTGTGTAACTCTTGCTGCTGCTGTTGCTGTCGCTGTTTTTGCTGCTGCTGTTGTTGTTGCTGCTTCTGCTTCTGCTGTTGTTCCTCTCGCTGTTGTTGCTGCTGCTGCTGCTGTTGCTGCTGCTGTTGCTGCTGCTATTTCTGCCTCCTACCTCTACTGCTACTGCTGCTGTTTCTGCTGTTTCTGTGGCTGCTGGTGATGTTGCTGCAGCAGTCACGTCTCCTTCTGTATGTGTGTGTGTGCGTGTGAAAAAAATGAAAAATAGGGATTCACTGGCCAGAACAAGTCGCTTCAAACAGCTGTGTGGTGGATACCAGGCTAAAAATAATGGCGGTAAATTCATCAGCCTTGCAAGCTGTTGAATGGTGTAATCCCAGCACAAGTTGCTATGTCTAACATAGCTGTTCGCTATCATCGCTTCCGCAATGGGCATGTCTGAGGTCTGAGTTGTGTGTGTGTGTGTGTGTGTGTGTGTGTGTGTGTGTGTGTTTGTGTTCATGTGTTCATGTGCTGTCATAGTGTCTATCGCAGATAGCGTTGCCAGTGTCTATATTGTGCCAGTTGCCAGTGTCTATACTGTTACTGCTGCTTCCTCCATGGTCAGCTGTGCTGAACAGTGATCCATTACGTGTGAGCCAGTACTCAGATGATGGGCAGAAATCTGGATGGCAGAGCTGCATCTTAGTAAGGTACAGGTTGTGTCTAAGGATTTCTTTTTGTCAGTTACTTTCCCTTGCCCGTCTCCTGTTTCCATATATGGGTGGGTTTAAACTAGTATAGCACGGATCTGGTTTGAAAATAATCCCCGGTCACATGACCACACTGTGGTAGTTTTGGTGAGAACTTGAAGACGGCTGGCCATGTACTGTCATTTCTGAATGTGACGTTTACTGCTGGTGATACTGCTGGTGCAAGTGTTTCTATACTGGTGATAGTGCTACTGCAGCTATTGCTGTGCTGCCAACTAATGTAGCTGCTGTTCTGGCAAGACTTCTACTGTTGCTATGCTGGCAAGACCTGTACTGTTGCTGTGCTGGCAAGACCTGTACTGTTGCTGCTGCTGGCAAGACTTCTACTGTTGCTGTACTGGCAAGACCTGTACTGTTGCTGTGCTCGCAAGACCTGTACTGTTGCTGTGCTGGCAAGACCTGTACTGTTGCTGTGCTGGCAAGACCTGTACTGTTGCTGTGCTGTTGCTGTCCCTAATGTTGTTGGTGCTTCTGCTGTTGCTGTCTCAGGGGGATTATCCGCAGTGGCGGCATTGTTGCTCATATTGCAGCGGGTTGTTCTGCCAAGGTCTCCTAATGCAAAGTGATCTGTTGGCTGATGGACGGATGCCGGGATGGTTCAGTATTGAAAGGTAATTTTTATTTATTAACTAGCACCCCTGTACTGTTAGCACCCACAACCCCCCCCCCCCCCCCATCACACAGAACCCATATTCATATGGAATGGCATTGTATAATGGGAGAATTGTGCAGAGAATAATTGTTTCACTTCAACTTCTCCTCGTTACATGCCCAGCTGTACACAGGGTTGGAAGGGACTTTTTGTTTGCACTTTACATACTCATTCATTAATTCCTTCTCTTCCATTTCCATGGCATTCTCTCCTAACTCTCCTTCCCATGACACCAAGGAATGGTGGCTCTGCTTATTCAAACTGTTGTGTCTGTCTCTCTGTTGCTGCTGCTGCTGCTGCTGCTGATCTTGACACTGCTGCTGCTGATCTATTGCTGGAGATACTGTTGTTTGCCTGTTTATGCCTCTGCTTCTGTTGAAGTTGCAGTTGCAGTTGCTGGTAGAGTTGCTGAGAGTGTGATGCTGCTGTGATAGAGATCATGACTCATGGTGTTGTCAGTAGCTGTACTATTCCTCTGCTTCATCTCTGGTCCTGGGTAACAGGAATCAGATGTATGCAGATCAGTGAGGTTTCTGATGACGTACACATACCTGGATGATATTGCTGCAATGCAGAAAGGTACAGCTTGTAGAAAAATATAATCTTATTGTTAACTACATTATCTTGCCCCTATCTTCTTTCCCTATTTAGATGTGTTCAAACTAATAATCAAAACAGGTAGAATTGGATAATTGTCCTGGGGAAATGACTGCACATTGTTTTTATCTTCACCTGCTGCTACTGTTGCTGCTGCTGCTACTGTTGTTGCTTCTGCTGCTGCTGTTACTACTGCTGCTGTTGTTGCTGCTGCTATTGCTGTTGCTGTTGTTGTTGCTGTTTCTGTTGCTGTTGTCGCTGTTGCTGCTGCTTTTGCTGTTGCTGTTGTTGCTGCTGTTGCTGCTGTTGGTGCTATTAGTCTTGCGGCCGTCGTTGGAGCTACTGCTACTGCTGCTGGTATTTTCTTTGCTGTTGCTGCTGTTATTTTCTTTACTGCTGTTGTTTCTACTGTTGATGCTATTAGTCTTGCTGTTGTTGCAGCTATTTGAACTCTTCATTCTCACGATGGTACCATCGTCAAAAAGCAATTTTTGCTGCTGTGGTTGCTGCAATTCTTCTCCTTGCAGCTATTGTTGATGTTGTTGGTGATTCAGAGGAGGTGATTTCTCGGTGGCATTCCGTAGCATTCGTCTGCCGGGGAAAATCACAGGATTGGAGGGCAAAGATGGTGGTAGTTGTGTGCCGAACGCTCTAATGCAAGTATATCTGCCAGAAGACTGTAGTGAAGTGAGTAAGTAGACTTTCTATTGTTAATAATCTGCTATTTGTTACTACTGGTAACTGTACAATATTCACCACACATTATTGTTTGCTATTTTCAAGACAAGAGACTAAGGGCCAGGTTACACTGCGGCTCCGCTGCTCATCATCCGCGGGTTGAAACGTCATCATTACCATAGTGACCGCGGCTCGAGCTGGAGCAGCGAGGCCACGGCTCACAGCGACCTTTTGCTACGATTCTTGATCAAAAACTGAGAGCCGCAGTCGCGGCTCGACCTGTTTCCCGTTACTTTGCACTGTTTTGTGCGCAAGAATTTTAGAATTCTAATTTTGTTTCATTGCTGGCCAGAACACGAGGTTTTTTTGATTTCGCGGTACCGCGAATGACGAGTGCCAGTGGAACCGCGCTGCTCCGCTGCATGCAGCCAAGTGCCGCGGAGCCGCAGTGGAACCCGGCCCTAATGTGAATATTGATTAACCAGAGAGAAGTCAAATTTGAACAGTGAGTTTATGAAAGTGGCCACAGTCCTTTGCGAACATTATCCACTGTAAACTCCCTGGTTCTAGGAAATGGCGAAAATTTATTGACGCGAATATCGGTGTGTTTGCAGAATTCTAATTTTACCATACTAACAAGTCAGACATGCATTATGTGATTATAGTAGTGTAGGGTCATGAAATTTGTACCGGCTAGGATTTCACAACACACACCATACCGGTATATACCGTAAAATTCCGCCAGAGCGCCCCGTCTTTTCCATGCGCCCATCCCGGACTTTTTGTCAGGGAAGTGATTGATTGTATCCTCGTATGACTCCATGATGCCGTACTGTACTGCAGACGAGTGCTTGACCCGGTCATTTTTCCTACTAGTGATGGTGCTGTTGCTGGTGATGGCGATGATCCCGCAACTGTTGCTGGTATTGCTGCTACTGCTGCTGGTATTGCTGCTACTGTTGCTGCTACTGTTGCTGCTGGTATTGCTGCTACTGTTGCTGGTGGTGATGGTGCTGGTGATGGTCCCGCAACTGTTGCTACTGCTGCTACTGTTGCTGCTGATGATGGTGCTTGTCCGGTTGTTACTGCTGCTGGTGCTGCTATTTATGCAACTGAATGTTGCTGCTTTTTGTTTTGTTTTTTTTCTTGCTGAATTTTCCCGTTGCACTGCTACAGATATGCTTGTGTTATCGAATCAACAGCAGAGCGGTCGTGCTGTTATTTCTGTAGCTGTGTAGCAGATGGATGTGACTACTACAAGGTATGTCAAAGAGTATCATCAACTGTACTTATACAGCTTCTTATAAAATGTATACGAGTGGGCAATCTCTGAAGTATTATTAAACCATTGACATTGCTACCGGTGGTGCTATTTCTCCTGACTCCATTGTCTTTCTGTGCTGTGCTTTCTGTGCTACTGTTGCTGCTCGTGTGTGTGTGTGTGTGTGTGTGTGTGTGTGTGTGTGTGTATGTGTGTGTGTGTGTGTGTGTTGGCCTTGCCCGTCACAAGTGTGTGGCTTAGTCCCCAGCCGCAGTGGAGGCGTGTTGTGGCGTGCACTGTGCGTCCTGCGCCCGCTGCTTCCATTCGGTCCAGGGCAGGAATAGACACCGCTGCTCAGGTTCTCCCCCGGCCATACGTCAGTCTTGGGGTAACAGTCCTAGGTGACCTGAATCCTGGCGACCTCTCGTTGTGTCCTGGACACCGTGGGACGGCGTTCTCCTCTTCTCTCTCCGTTGCTACTCCAGGCCCACGTGACCCTCGTGGCAGTGGCTCGATAGGAAAGGACAGGTGTGTGTGTGTGTTTGTGTGTTACTCTTGCTGCTGCTGTTGCTATTGCTGTTGCTGCTGTACTTCTCGCTGTTGTTGCTGCTGCTGCTGCTGCTCCTGTTGCTGTTGTAGCTGCTATTTCTGCCTCCTACCTCTACTGCTACTGCTGCTTTTTCTGTTGTTTCTGTGGCTGTTGATGTTGTTTAAGGCAGTCACTTCTTTTTTATGTATGTGTGCGTGTGTGTGTGTGTTTGTGTGTGTATTCATGTGCTGTCATCGTGTCTATTGCGGATAGCGTTGCCAGGGTCTCTACTGTTACTGCTGCTTCCGCCATGGTCAGCTGTGTTGAACAGTGATCCGTGACGTGTGTGTCAGCGAGTACTCAGATGATGGGCAGAAATCTGGATGGCAGAGCTGCATCTTAGTAAGGTACAGGTTGTGTCTAAGGATTTCTTTTTGTCAGCTACTTTCCCTTGCCCGTCTCCTGTTTCCATATATGGGTGGGTTTAAACTAGTATAGCACGGATCTGGTTTGAAAATAATCCCCGGTCACATGACCACACTGTGGTAGTTTTGGTGAGAACTTGAAGACGGCTGGGCATGTACTGTCATTTCTGAATATGACGTTTACTGCTGGTGATACTGCCACTGCAAGTGTTTCTATACTGGTGGTAGTGCTACTGCAGCTATTGATGTGCTGCCAACTAATGTAGCTGCTGTGCTGGCAAGACCTGTACTGTTGCTGTCCTGGCAAGACCTCTACTGTTGCTGTCCTGGCAAGACCTATACTGTTTTTGTACTGGTAGGACCTATACTGTTTCTGTGCTGGCAAGACCACTACGGTAGCTGCTGCTGCTGTTGCTGAGCGGCTGCATTCGCTAATGCTGTTGCTGCTGCTGTTACTGTTTCAGGGGGATTATCCGCAGTCGCTGCGTGGTTGCTCTTATTGCAGCGGGTTGTTCTGCCATGGTCTCCATATGCAAAGTGATCTGTTGGCTGATGGACGGATGCCGGGATGGTTCAGTATTGAAAGGTACAGTTTTTTAAATTAACTATCACCCCTGCACTGTTAGCACCCCCCCCCCCCCCCCCCCCCATCACACAGCACCCATATTCACATGGACTAGCATTGTATAATGGGAGAATTGTGCATGGAATAATTGTTTGACTTCAACTTCTCCTCGTTACAAACAACTCTCATACTCCTACCTGTGTTGTCTATACATTACAAAGTGAGTTATCTAAGTTTTAACCACTGCATATCTAGATCACCACTCTTGTCTGCAGTGTACGTAAGCCTCTATGGGTATATTTGCATGTCCAGCTATACACAGGGTTGAAAGAGACATTTTGTTTGCACTTTAGGTACGCCTTCATTCCTTCTCCTCCATGTCATTCTCTCCAAACTCTCCTTCTTGTGATAGCTAGGAATGGTGGCTATGCTTGTCCAAACTGTTGTGTCTGTCTCTTTGTTGCTGCTGCTGATCTTGACACTGCTACTGTTGCTATTGCTGGTGTTGGCTGTGCTGGTTGTAGACATCTATTCAGTCACTCACAAGACAGCCATTGTGCTAAACAGATCTTCTTTAGTTCTCTATCAGAAGTGCGCCATGTCATCTCTCTCGTGCTATACATAAAGCGGTACAAGCACGTGCATGCCTGCACGTGCGTACATAGTACTACATACAACTGCATGTACGATATCTACATTACCCCCCTTCCCTCAAAAAGAAAAAAAAAGAAGAAGGAGAAAAAAGGAAAACAAAAACAAAACAAAAACACATGCATCCGTATCCTGCAGCTTGCAGAGGAATGTACGTACATGTGTTGGAGTAAAAGAGAGACGGGAAGTGTTGCAACTATTAGAAATAATCTGACTCAAAACTTGAGGCAAAAACACCATGAGTTTGAGTTACAATGCAAACTCGACCAATAAGGGGAAAAAAATAAAGAAAAATCTAAATATTCACAAGGTAGTTAGAAGATTCTAAACAACGCCAATCTGGTAGCGATTGAAGCCACTCATTTGGTAATGCATGACTCGACGACTCAGATGTCAGCTTCACGTGCTTTCTCTGTAAGCTTGATCTGACGGCCAGCTCTGGTCTGTACGCCCTCGCGGAATACACTTGGACGAGATGTTGGCGGTGACAGTGACATACAGGCCGGTGTTGCAGGTGATGCTGTCGTCTCCGGTGAAGCTGCAGGAGACAACGGCAATGTGAGCGCAGTTACCGGAGCTTCGGGCCTGGATGTTGCGCTGCTCGCTGACGGAAGGCTTGTTGGGTCGGACACTGGCAGTGCTGGAGCACACACTGGCTCTGGCACATGCTCCCTCTCTGACTGTGCCAGAGGTTCACTCATGGGTGCTTTCTCCGCTGCTGCTGCTGCTGCTGGTGCTACAAACTCGGTAACATGCTGACGGTTCCGGAGCAGTATGCGTGACCCATCAGTGACCCCAACCTGACGACCATACTGCTCTACTACCTTCCATTCTTTTCGAGGGTCGCTGTACCCATCATGGAGCACTACCCGCGTACCTGATGGCAAATGGGGTAACTTGCGGACACCTCGGCGCGAGTCATGACCTTCAACCATTGCTGCTTTCGCCTTGATCTGCTCAAATGGGTTGACGATCTGTGGGGTGATGGATGCTGGAACCCGTGTCCGAATGACTCTGCTGAACAACGCTTCGCTCGGCGATGTACCTAGCATCCGGTGCCGCGAATTGCGAATGTCGAACAAGACTTGAGTGATGCGGCGGTGTAGCGGTAGATGAGGTCTCAGGCTGGCAACTCGTTCTTTCACCAGACGATGTAGTCGCTCCACCATACCGTTAGAGCGGGCATACCGGGGGCTAGACTTGCAATGCTCAACACCCAACTGAGCGAGAAACTTGGACATCTCAGTGGATGCAAACTGTGGGCCCCAATCCGAGACGAGTGTTGAAGGCAGACCAAACCGTGCGAACAACTCCATCAGCTTGTCGATCACACCCGTTGTCGTAGTATTGGACAGTGGTAGAAGCTCTGGCCAGCGGGAACCATAATCAATAGCAGACAGGAACGTGGCTCCCTCAATGGTAACAAGGTCAATGGCCAGTTTCTGCCAGACACCTTCTATCTCTGTAGGGAGGAGCTGTTGCGCTGGATTGGAGCGTTTACGCCAGCATTCAGAGCATTTCTCTGCAAACAGATTGGCATCCTTCATGAGACCTGGCCACCAAACCCGTTCGCGAAGGGTATCCCGGAATGCATCGATGCCTGGATGACCTTCATGTGCTAGTCGCAGCACCGCTGGGCGGAGCTCTTCTGGAATGACGTAGCGATTGTCTAGCATGACAATCCCTTCAATGACTGTCAGCTGATGGCGTAGCAGGAAGTAAGGCTCTTCCGTTTGGATGCACCCTGACCAAACTGATGTGCCCACTCTTTGTCGGACGCTGCTCAGTGTCGGATCAGAGTCCGTGGCCTGGCGAATATCCTTGGAACGAACCGGACAAGCCTCGAGAATGAGACTAACGAATTCCGCCATTGAACGTGCCTCTGCAGGTGAAGCTGTGCGATCAGGTAGAGGAGCTCGAGAGAGAGTGTCAGCACAAACCATCTGCTGGCCAGGGACGAACACCAAGCTGTAGCGATAGGGCATCAATGCGACCAGCCATCTCTGAAGCCTCGGTGGCACTTCGTCGAACGGCTTCTGGACGATAGAAATAAGCGGCTTGTGATCCGTAAACACTTGCACTTCTCGGCCTAGTACATACTGCCGAAAGCGAGTCAGGCCGAATACCACTCCCAGCATCTCTCGTTCCAGCTGAGAATAGCGTGACTCAACATCTGATAGAGAGCGACTGGCACATGTCACTGGTACCCAACAGCCACTGGTATTCTTCTGCCACAGGACTGCTCCCAAACCGTCTGGCGATGCATCACAGCTGATAGCAGTAGGGACGTCCAATGCTGGTTGAAAGAATGCCAACGCTTGCAAAGCTGACGCTATACCAGCCTTTGCTGAGGCGAATGCCTGCAGGACTTCATCATCCACACTGAAGGGATCACGCTTTGCTAGCCTGCGCAGAGAAGCCGTGATCTGGGCCAAGTTCGGAATGAACTTTCCAAGGTACGTAGCCATCCCCAGGAACCGTCGCACATCAGAGATAGATTTCGGAGGGGCCAGCTCCTGGATGGCTTGTAACTTGTCATCATCTGGGGACAAGCCGGTCGCACTTAGCCAATGTCCCAGATACTTCACACGGTCCTGGTTCAGTCGGCACTTGGTCCAGTTGAGTTGGAGGTTAGCTGCTCGCAGTCGCTGCTTGACTGCTTCTAGCCGTGCATCGTGTTCTGCTTGATTGGAGCCAAACACTAGGATGTCGTCGATGTAGACGATGACTCCTGGCAGGCCTTCCAGAATGTCGGACACCACTCGCTGGAAAATCTCAGGCGCACATGCAATACCGAAAGGTAAACGCTTGAAACGGAACAGGCCACAGTGCGATGAGAAAGTCGTTAGAGGCCTTGCTTCTTCTGACAAGAGTAGCTGATGGAATCCAGATTCCGCATCCAGAACTGAGAAGACCCCTGCGCCATCAAGCTGAGCTGTGATCTCGTCAACGGTTGGAAGAACGTTGCGCTCACGTGTAACTCTCTTATTCAGTTCTCTGTAGTCCACGCATAGTCGCAATGCTCCATTCGGTTTGCGGACTGGAACAAGTGGTGACACCCACGGCGTGGCTTCCTTGACGGGTTCAATGATATCCAACTTGGTCAGCCGTTTCAGCTCGGTCTCGATGTCAGCCCGGATACTGAAAGCTGGGCGTCGTGGTGGCTGGGCTAGAGGCTTTGAACCGTCTTCCAGAGAGATTTCGATGGGTGACACGTTCACCACGTTTGCTTGTGACAGGAGGTTCAGCTCCTTGATGACATCCTGTCCGAAGAGAACGGAGTGCTGACTGGCTGCTACCACGAAACAACTGCACTTCACGTTCTTGCCACCATGTGAAATGTGGACGTCAGCCATGCCCAAAGTCTCTACGACACCGCCATTGTACGCTTTCAGCAAGCGGTCACTCTTGCGCGTGGGCTTGATCACATCATCAGTGAGGATCGTCCGAGTTGCACCTGTGTCTAACAGTCCAGTGCACAGCTCACCATTGACTTTGAGTGTAGTCTGGAATGTCTTGTCGCCTGCGAGTGCCGAGCTACTGACGGCGAAAGCGGAGTCGTACATGCGACTTGCATGCTCATACTCATCAGGCTCATCCTCTACTGGCCGGGCTCTTTCTTCGTGTCTTTCCACTTTGTTTGACATGCAGACCGCTGCAAAATGCCCTCGCTTGCCACACTTGTTGCAGGTGACGTTGGCCGCAGGACAGTTACGCATGCCTGGTTTGTGACTACGTCCGCAGTATTTGCACTTCTTTCCCTCTGATCCAGAACCAGCTGCAGAGACAGCTTGCACACGCTGGATGGGCACGGGGAACACAGGCGGTGCGTCACTAGCTCTGGTACTATCGTACAGTTTACTGTCAGTAATCGACGCTTCCAACGCCACTGACTTGGTGACGGCGTCGTTCAGGGTCAGCTTCGACTGTTTCAGCAGCTCCTTTCGAAGCTCAACAGAACGCAGGCCCACGATCAGCTGGTCTCGAATTTGGCAGTTGACAATGGTATCCACAGAAGTGGAGCTGAATTCGCAAACATCTGCCTTTTCTCTCAGCCGCCCAACGAACGAAGTCACCGACTCGCCCTCCATTTGGCGGAGTTGGCGGAATTTGTGACGTTCAGACGTGACATTTGTTGACGGTCGAAAGTGTGCCAACAATGCGTCCGTCAAGGCTTGGTACTCATCTCCAGGTGAGCCATCTTGTGTCTGCTCCACCGTGACAACCAGACCTTTCACAATGCGCCTCACTGCTAATCCAGCCAGATTCAAGAACAAGCGTTTCTTGTCAGCTGCTGCCGTCACTTCACTGATTGAAAGGAAATCATTTATGTCCTCGAGCCAGAGTTCAAAATCAGCACCGACGTTGCTCGCAGCATAGTCAGGAATAAATTCCTTGGGCGTCCTGCCCTTAGTCATTTTCGTTCACTGCGCCAATGTAGACATCTATTCAGTCACTCACAAGACAGCCATTGTGCTAAACAGAT